AATGGTTAAGACCACTCAGTGCTCGAAGTTCAACCAGTGTTGAATGGGCTGGCTGCATCGTTAGTTTCGTGCCCTTTTTTTTCCAATGTTCCAATATGTATAACGCGAATACAAGCCAGTTTTCTTTAGAATGTCCTCTATTACAGAATCCCTTCCTCTAGACAGATAACTCTGGTGTGTTTTGCCACATTCAAATAACCTGTCTGTGTTACCGAGGCGAATACACAATTTTGACAAACAAAAATAGAATTAAAAAACTATATTTCCTCTGTTATAAACACACAAAACAGTTCGAAGAGAAGCATGCGAAGTAAAATTAGACAGAACAGCCACGTTGGATTGGCATTTATTTTAAGTAAAACTCTCTCGATTTCAAGTGTGATCTGACACAGATTATTGTGAATAAATTATCATGTGAACGTTTTAACACTGAAGAAGGGAGACATGCGCCAAGTCGCTCAGAAACGATATGTAGTTTCCATTAACGCCAACAAAATGCCTGCCAATTTTTAGGTTGCTTCTTTGTCTGATTTTACTCGAAACTGTTATTTTAATTTATTAATCTTACTGTTTAAATTTTCGGTACCAGAGACCACTGACACAATAATAGTAATAATAATAAAACAAAAACAAAAGCGTCTGAAAATTCTGAAGCACAGGAGAATGTGATGAAAATGCACTAGCAACATGTTTCAACTATTTTTGCTTCAGCAGCTTAATACTTTTGCACATACTGGCGGTCTATTCTCAATCCGATTAGCGGTACGTAAATCTTAGTCTTATTTTAAAAAATCTCGAGATAACATTGATTAAATTAAAAAAATTTTCTCAGTGTGACTTTCCCGTGGTTTACTGACTGCATAGAGGGACAAAAGCACGTATCAACGTACAACTAACTACCTTTCCGCCCACTAAACCTGTACCAAGATATGTAACGAATGCATTAATAGCTTATAAACATTATTCGTTAATTACAGTAATACTGCAAACGTTCATAAAAATTACCAACTGGATTACCATAAATTAATGTATTATAAATTACATCAACGTAATACATTATAGAAAAATAAAATAAAACCATAAATTATTAAGACGTACGTCTATTGCTTTTAAATCCCTCATTTTGTTGAGCAAATTCAGTTATAATTTGAAAGGTAAAAGTTTTGAGACACGTCGAATGGTATTACTTTAAAAAAACTATTTATAGGAAAAGAAAAAGATGATTGAAAGGCCATATACTATTTTGTGCAACTTTTTTTGCCAGGTCATATGTATGATAAATTCCTAGTGGTGTAATGTAATGGCCCAAACTTTTGGAGTGAATCTTCTACAGACGTTTCTGGATTTAAAATAAGTAAATAAGGCATTTTCTTAATAACCACAATCCTCAATCATCTGAGTTGTGGTGATATTGGTTTCAGTATTTTATTCGAATTTATAGTGGTACGGGTATCGGTATTCCAATTTACGGTGGTATGGTACAATATTACGTGAGCGGGTAATAATGTGAGCATTCCAGACAAGATTTCCCTCATCTAGCATACGCAGAAACCCCGTTGGCCGAATATTGAAAACATGTAAATGATGCATAAGAAGAGCTGTTTCTCATGCTTAAGTCTTAAATTCACCAGATCCCGGCTCCGAGATTTTTCAAGCTTTGATTAAAATCATAATTTTAGCTGCAATCCTAAATAAGATAAATTATGGTATTTTAATTCACTCTTTAACGATTTGTCACTTAATTGCTAATCTTTTATTTGTTTCTTTACATCTTATTAAAATTTATTATGTTATTTATCTGGTTGTCTGAAAAGTCAAGACACATTTTTATATGTTCTTCAAAGGTTCTTTATTTGTATAAAGAACAATGAGCAGTTAAAAGTATATTTCCTGTTTTGTTCGATAACTGTTTGCGTTCTTTTAATGAATTTCTTAATTTTTCATTCGTAACCTAGCTTTATCAGTGAAACGCTGAACAAGGTGGCTCATCTGAATTGAATGTTATACTACGAAAGAAATTTTGAAGACAGCGAAACAAACGAAAATCTGAGGACACAAGATCAGACGAGCATGATATGCCAGGAACACTCAATTGCACAAATTATTCATCCAAACTCCAATAATTTTTTTCAAATGATCAAACTCGTGTATAGTCTCGCGTTATCGGGATGGAATGCAGCTCCTATACGATTAATTAGCTCTGGAAGTTTCTGGAAGATCGATTCATTGAAACTGTCAGCTGGCGACAGAACACATTTCTTAGCTCGTTGGTAGAAGCTTGGAAACAAGACCACACATAAATTTAATCTCCTGACGACAACTGTTTGAGTTTGGATGAAAAGTATTGCCATGCGTATCATACGCCCCTAATCTTGTGGCATCAAATTTTCCCTTGTTTAGCTCGCTTCAAAATTTCTTTCGGTATAACATTCAATTTAGATGAGGCCATAAATAAGCACCTTGTTCAGCTTTCCTTGATAAAGCTAGATTCTTTTGTGAATAAGGAATTACTAAAACTCATTAAAAAATTTTAAAAAGTTACCAAACAAAACAAGCAATATACTGACTGATCATTGTTTTTTACAAATACCTTTGAAGAATCCGGAAAAAATGCGTCATGACTTTTCACACAGTCTAATATTTAGTTATTTAGTTTCGACATTCTTTCATAGGGTACTTCTAATTTTGGAGATTAAGGCGTGGCAATAGCTCTTTTTGACTATTATTGAATAATGGAAATTTCTATAACCGTTGGAATCTTCTTTTTTCTTACTCATCGACGAATACAAACAAATGAAGCCATGCCCTTCTCCGACACGCTTTCTTTCATTTCAATTTTTGAAAGCCAAGTGAGATTGCCATTAAAATGAAGATATTACAAGTTAAAATTTTATCTCATATATATATACTACGGCTTTAGTGAGCCATGAAGGACGACTTTAAACAACCACAAAAACACGAATACATATAAACATGACACCGCTGAGCAAATTCTGAAGCGTTAAAAGCAAAGTTTTACCAATCCTAAATTTGCGAAAGCGAAAGTTTTGAGGCTGAAGGTCACTCCGGTAGTTAACCTCTGTGGAGAGACTCTTTCCGCAATGATCATCGTACCCAAGATAGACTTGTCGACATAGGAAGAATGATGAAATCTTTCGCTTCACTGATACGAGCTAATCATTAATGAGTATTTGAGTCAAGGTGAGTAAGAATGGTCGGGGCGTACCAGAGCTCAGCATAGTATCATTCAAGCGGATGTAAGAGTTGCCATTGGATCTTGATTGCTTAATCGTGTTCTGAATAAAATTAATTAGTTTTTGGAAGTATTCGATAATTCGAATGCTTAAATTACACACTGATTGACATTACCCTCAATAACTGATCAAAAAGTCGTATTTTCTAAGCAGAAGAAAAAATGTATTATAGGTCTTTTTATTCTTTCAGTTTTTCTCTTTTTATTAAAAAATAAATGAAAATTTCAGGCTTCAACTGTGCCTTTCCTTATTATTTCATAAGGAACAGAAGAGTTTGATAGGTTTTTAATAAAGTAATTAAAAGTAAATTAAAAAGCCTATGACTTGCGCTAAGGCTTCAGAGTAATAAACCATTCATAATAATTTATAATAAAAAAACTTTCCATATACCATCTCCAAGGAACACAAATTCAATTTAAAACCATAAATGAAAAAAAATTAGTCAGAATTTAAATTAGTATTTTAAATAATAATTTCAATCTCCTTATTAAAAAAATCAGTTAAGAAAAATTTTTACTCGCAAAAATACCAAAACCAAAAGTAAATTTTAAGTACTGAAAAAGTAGCTATTGTCATTGATCGCAGATTAATCGACTTGTCAAGGGGATAAAACAATCTACCGTCAATTAACAACAAGTGAATTAATAGAAAGTGTTTCATCTTATTTTTAAGTAAGCATCAAATTATTTGCTAGATCCAAACCATAAGTCACAATTAATACTCAATCCAAATAAAGACATTAGTCCATTTAAGCCCAAATAATCTTCTTAAACAAAATAGTAAATAATCTTATTAAATTAAAGTTTTTTATTTAGAACACAATTAATCTGAACGCGATGCTTACTTTAGAAGACATATCCCCTACACTCTGATTTTCAAACGCAAAAACAGAAGTAAATTGAATTTGTGTTGCTTGGAGATGGTATATGGGAAGTTTTCTTATTATAAATTATTATGAATCAAAGGTTTTAATAGAAATAAATGCATAAAGGGTGGAAAAAATTTAGCTAAAATATATATTTTTTCAATTTGGTTATTTATCCAATATCGCATTAATTTCATGCCATTAATTACACACGGATTCATGGCTTTACGGAAATTACCATATCTATATCAACAACTCAAAAGAAGAAATCATTGTGGGAAGAACCGCAAATCATGTTGATCAGTCAAATAACTTTCATGGTCCTGTCCACTCGTTGGGACCTTTCGGGCGGATAAATCATGCTTTTTAAGCATTACAACTGCACAAAACTTTTACTTTATATACGTCCTTCTCCTTGCTATAACTAGATATAAGGTTGTAGACCTACTTTTACGCCCCTCCCCTCCCCTGTATATAAGCGCGTTTTTTATTCCAGAATATATTCTTCAATATTGACTAAACAAAGCATATACTGTGAAATCAAGTCATAACTGCGCTAACAAATTTTTAACACTCGAGGTAGATTCCGAAATTGAGATCCTAAATACAAATTTTTTTAAAGTTCTGCATTAATATTTGGTTTATTAGACATAAATTTTACGTCCTGTCTCTTTATTTACCTGAGGCAAGTGCTTCACGCGACTCAGCTTTAATGTGGCTCTTCTGATGCCCGTGCTGTTAACGCACATCTTTCACTAGCCTTCCTATGCATGTATTTCTCTTTCAAAATATTATTTCAGAGCACTTACGTTAAGTATGATATCTAAATTTGTAATTAGTGCAAAGATTATAAAATGACGTTACAACTTTATTTTAAACAGCTATGGGAACATATACGTCGACCTATTGGAATCATCATTGGAATGTGCAGCCAGTTCGTTCTGTTACCTTTATCTGCTTTCTGCCTCATCAAAGTGCTAGGATTAAACATCCTGCACGCGACAGGCCTTCTTCTTTTAGCATGTAGTCCAGGTGGAGTGACTTCAAACATTTTCACTTACTTCTGTGAAGGAGATATATCTCTAAGGTAAAGGAACTAGACATAATTCTTTCCATAATTTATAGCAATTTAATTCTAAATTGTTTATAGCTTGATATCTTTCTATTTACAGCATAGCAATGACCACGTGTTCCACGCTCGTGGCCCTCGGAATGATGCCGCTTAACTTGTACATGTATGGACAAAATCTAAATCAAGAGGATGTTGTCATCCCATACGGAAAAATGGCGCTCTCTCTAGTGTCTGTCACTTGTCCTGTTCTGGTAGGAATGCTTGTCCATTGGAAGTTTCCTCGAATTGCTGCATACCTCACCAAGGTAAAAATTTTCACTATTCCTTATAAACATCTAACACACTAAAAAAGGGAAAATATATAATTCTCAGTTAGTTATTTTGAATTATCCCCTATAAGTTGGTTATTTACAATCAAACAACTCGGTAAAGAACCTCATTCTACAAAAACTTTGACATGATTTGTCTGCGTGTAGCTGCGATTGTTAGTTATGGGAAGATTAAACGCTCTTTTTAGTAATGATCTCCATTCTTTATTATTCAAGTATTATAAAAAATAATTTGAGAAATAAATGTAATACATGTTACTTATAAATATTCATTTGGTTCATTTCTCCTTATGCTAGCATATTTCTATGACTATTTACCATCTATTATCTAAGATAAATTTTTAGAGAAATTCTGATAATTCTAAAGGAAATTGTTCTCTGAAAATCGGCATTCGTAAACACAGGACAAATATCTACTCGCTCTCATTTATAAAAGAGAGCATCATAATGTTTCTGGGCTAACGGCGAAGCAGACTGGCACTCGTAGCTGCAGCGACTTTCAATTTTGAAAGGCAAGTATGCCAACAGGCATCGCTGTGTCTCACACGAGGAGTTGTTATAACGGTTCTTTAGTGATTAGGTACGACTGCACTCGCCGCCTTGAAACACGACAATGGTTAGCGACGTTTTTTGCTGTATCGTCGGGCCCAGATTCTAATCCTTGAGAAGGCACGGATATTTATAAGTGTATTGTGTCTGTGTGGCATGGGGCACTTAAAACTCTGGGCTTCCGAAAGTCCTCTCTAGTGGCAAGACTCTCGGATCCTTCTCCCGGGCTGTGTGTCATCAAAATTGAGGCGGAGAAGTACAGTGGGATTATATCCGCATGACCAATAATGAAAATTTGGGTGTCCCGTCCTGTAAGTTTGTGTTTCTACCTCTGTCTGTGAGTTGAAGACAGTTGTTACATCATGATCAGAAAAGCGATACAACGAGCCAGTTACAATTCTGCCTTAAACAGGGCAAATCGGCTACTGGCATACATCGAATTAAACATGCATTGACAAGTTAATGTCGGTGCGGCAATACGTTACACGTAATGTTTCGAGTGGCACAGGCTCTTCAAATGCCCATGAAGACAAGAAGAGATCTGGAAGCCATTCCTCGTGCATTGTCCTCGAAAATGTGGAACAAATTCAAGAACTTCTGCATGCGAATTGTCAGAGGTCGATTTGGTTTATGTGATTACGGTAAAGCCTCGAGGGCTATCTGCCTAAGGGGGAATAGCCTTCGTGGAGGACTTTCAAACTGGCTCCTATACATGTTACACATGGGGAAAACCACAAAAGCCCCCATGCAGTCAGTCCGTTCGCGGGATTCTGTTCAGCGACTTCACCGCTCGGCCGCTGGCGGGCCCCTCCAGAGGTCGATTAACCACATTGTATTAGTATATCGTAGAGGTCAAAAAAGACACATTAGTTAATAAATTTAGTCTCTATTAACTGAATTTTCGATTAGTTGAAGTAATTACAGTCACAATTACCTCGGATAATCGAGATTCTACTATATTTCAGACACAAATGCATAATACCATTCTAGCACACAAGATTTAAATGATGTGCCGCCCAGACAGCAGTGGTTAGTGACACTGACTGCTATATCGAAAGGCCCGGTTTCAAAACCGGAGAAAACATGGATTTTTGCAAATGTTTAGTTTCTGTGCGGCGCGGGGGCATTCAAAATACACTTTCACCCGAAAGTCCTTTCCAGTTGTTTCGTGATAGGGGAACAGGGGTGCTCTCCTTCAAATTTGGAGCGGAACTGGGCAAAGTCTTACTATCATCTATAATGTGGCCGAGGTCCATCTTAACGAGAGACGCAAGCTTGCACTCACTGCCACGATGAAGCTCGTAGATTAGGTCAGACAAGTGAGATTAGCTGTAACAACAAATTTAAATGAGCTGCACTGTATATAGCAAATTAATGCCCAAATGATACATGATCTTCAACTTATAAATTGTTCAAAAGGATCAATTTTTTCGGAAATTTTAATTTCCTGCATTAGCATTAAAGATACATTCTGGATTATGCAGATATGATTAACCAGAATTATCCGCATTTCCCGCATAATGTCAATAAAAGCGAACATGTCAATGAACTTTTTCTCAAGTGCTTTTTTGGATGTATCACATCAAGGCTCAGCTGACCCAGTTTTTAATAAATTGTCTGAGACTTTGATGAATCCTCTTTTAAACCAATCGGTCACGGTCGTTAAAGTCAACACACTTCCCTGTTTACAGAATTAATAATATAAATACAAAGAAGGCTAACTATGAAATATCAAGGACGGTGACGTTGTCTAATAAGTAAACATTTAGTGGAGAATTTAGTCATTCTTCTATCTTCCTCTAACATAGATATCTGTTTATGGTATGCATTCGAATAAAATCATTAATTAAGAATAGACCGCAGAGATGGGAGCATTTAACAGATATTTTGTGGTATTTGTATACCAAAAACGAATATTAGTCTTACAGACATTCTTCGCTAATAAAAGCACAGTATCGTCAAAATACAGGATAGTTGTTGTCTTGCCCATGTAATTTCATGGAAGAATGGTTGCCAGAGCCTCAAGGGGGGCCTAAAGGGGGCATTACAAATATCTTGCGTTGCTTCACAAATTCAGTGATTTAAAAGAAATAAACGTCCTTCTTAACAATTTAAATCTCTATTTTATTTTAATAACATGCCTAATTGATATAATTTAAATATATTTAGTTTATAACGTATCTAAATCATAATTTTTATAAACATTTTAACCATTATTATAATTAGCAAAAGATGTATCTAAGGCTGTTCTCAACCATCTGTCTCCAACTTTCACTCTCTTCTGTTTTTAGCATCAGAGAATTTCACATTCAATAATCTGTAATTCCATTAAATTTTCATTCTGAAATACGCCGTTGAGTTGATGTCAAATACTTCATTGTCAGATACTAAAAATATTTAAAGTCAATACTTCAATGTCATTTTTTTCTATAGTTTTATACTGACCTCGCTAAGGTAAGCAAAGTGATAGAATGCTTAAGACACAATAACACGCCGAATAAATACTAATTCAGAAGTCAAACAACAAAAATCAGCGTTATATTTACAAAATTTTCACAGGACTAGTTTCGATGGTTTTACCGAACCACCATCTTCAGCTGCAAAACCGCAAATGAATTTATTTATCATGCCTTCATCCGTTAATCGTTTCACTAAATTACGCCTGAAACGGCAAAAATTCCTGAATCATCTTGACTTTTTACTTAAATGTAAATGTAAAAAATTGATCCCCAATTTTATTCAAATCAAATCTAATCAAAAACCTTCGAGTCGCGTTTCAAGAATTCTGTTAAATTTGCAAGCTTGCCTTACTTCGGGTCCGTCATAAGGGATACACGTCAACAATTGTCCAAAATTGAACGTGAACTCTATAAGCTTCATCTGGAACTCGCTAAATCATATCCAAAATTCCCTCTGCCCTTGAACAAAAGTCTTAGTCTAGAACGGGAGAATGCAGTTAACCGTCATAAAACACCCTTGCAGTTAAATTCGAAAAACTTCTTTTACAATCTCCCAGTTCAAGTAGTGCAAAAAATCTTCCCATTGTAAACATCAAGCCAATAGTTAATATTTCTAATGTTGTCTTTCAGAAGAACAAGAGAGAATTCTAAAATAAATTTTAACTTCTCACAAACCTGTAAACCCTCGATTCCAAAGATTTTGGCTCCTATCGAAAAGCTTTCAAGTTCAGTAAAGTTTCAGATTCACAGAAAGAAATGATTAGGCATCTTATCGCTCATAATGTGAAATTCAATAATAAACCTTTGAAACCAAATCTAACTGCGAGAGAAAGAGCTACATTGCGTGAAATTCATTCTAACCCGGATATATTATTATTTCAAAGGGCGACAAAGGTGGCCAGATAGTCGTCATGGATAGGAAAACTTACATCGATGGTGTCACTAAACTCTTAAACGAAGGACCATATAATCCGATCCCTAAAGATCCTTCACCTTCGGACTTATCAAAAATAAAATCTTCGATCAAATCTTCGCAAATCATTTCAGGCAACTTAAAACATTCACTTATCCCATCTGTTGCGAATTGTGCCAGATTATATGCTCTTCCCAAAATTCATAAAAGTGGTATTCCTTTCCGTCCTATTGTATCAAATTTAGGTACTGCCTCGTATCCATTAGCTAAATATTTAGTTTCATAGATTTTCAACTCTATTAGACAATAACATTTACACCATAAAAAATTCAATAGAGTTTGTAAAAAAAGTTAAAAACATTTCTCCTAGTAATTTATTCATGGTTTCTTTTGATGTAAAATCATTATTCACCAATGTCCCAGTGGAGGGTGCATTAAGATGTCTAGAAACCAGACTTCGCGAATTTCATTTCTCTTGCATCGAAATTGATGAGCTAATTTCTCTCACTCAACTCTGTTTGAAACAAACACATTTTGTTTTCCAAAATAAATATTACAAGCAAACTGAGGGATTAGCCATGGGAAAAAGCCCCCTCAGTCCCATCCTGGCTGATATCTACATGCATTATTATGAATCAAAATTGTTTGAAAACTTTAAACTTTTTCCCGGCATGGTTTCCGCTACGTAGACGATACTTTTACCCTGTTTGAAGGTAATAAAGATGATTTAAATAAAGTTCTTTCAACAATGAATTCTATTTGATCCTGCTATTCAGTTCACTTTTGAACTTGAGACTTGCAATTCTCTTCCGTTTCTCGAACATTCTGGTCACACGTAACACATCCAACTTCAGTACTACGGTTTACCGTAAACCTTCATCGGTTTGCCTTCCACCACACTTTAAATCATGTCATCCGACTAAACAAAAGTTAGCTTCATTTTATTCCTATGTTTTCCGTGCTCTTCAAGTTTGCTCCTCCAAACTAGCCCTTGATGAAGAACTAAATTATTTAAAAGCAATAGCTATTGACAGGGGCTTTCCACCCAACATTAT